GATGAGTAAATTATGTTTTAGGGGACAATTGTCTCCTGCGTAACGTTTCTCTGAGCCACCTTTAGTACCTTTTTAACTAGTTGCAGTTTCAACGATTGCCACATTAAGAATGCAGCTAACAAAAATAGGTTTTTATAAATTATTGTACAACAAATAATTCGCCCTCGAAATCGCAGGAAATGCTGTTTCCAAGGCTCTGGTTTCAAAATTTTCCGGGGAGCATGCCCCCGGACCCCCCTAGTGGGGTCGCGCCTCCGGCGCGAGATGGATTGGCGGGAGTGACTATTTTTCCTAGCTACGCCACTGGCAATTATGGTTTTTTTAATTTTTTAAGTGCAACGCATTTAATTTGTTTTGAATCAAAGGGATAAGTTGCTGTAAAGATGAAACTTCATTTGAGTTTTAAGAGAGTCTTCACATATATTTGGTCTAAATAACACCTAAAGTATAATTATCCAAGAATTTTATTGAAATGTACATTGTACAGTTTGTTGCTTTAGAACTGTTTAAACCATGTGGTAACTGTGACCTTTTATGTAAAAAATTTCGCTCTGTTTTAACTTTCATTTTATTCAAACTTAGCGTAAATGATATTTATTGTACTGCACTTACAAATAATTTTTGATGATTGCAGATTTTTTGGTTTTGACATATTTTGCCACTACATGGATGAAAAAATGACTTCTCCTATAGTCTGGCTAGAGACCCTGGCTTTTCAGAAAGCGATGTCAAAGACTCGGATACTTCAGAAGTTTAGAGTTAAAGACCCTAGCTTTTTAGACCGTGATTCTCAGCAAAAAATAAATGGTAATTTATGATGGCAAATTTTCACTAGACACATTTATTTGACAATGTGTGTACTATATTTAAGTTGTGACTTTAAACCAACAATTGCCCAAATTGTTACTGTATAAAATTTGGTTTTATAGCTAATTTCTCTTTAAAAATTTGCTATCATATGTGTCGATTAACGTCGCAAAACTTGTTGAGAATATACGTTGAGAATAACTGTTGTTATATTTTGGTTATATTTGGTATCTCGATTGCTCATTAGTGCATTGTGATCGAGAATTTACAGCAATTATTTATTGTTGATTGAACTGAGTAGTATAGTTATCATTGTGACAATGAATTTGAACGCATAATACTTTTCAATGTGTATTAAATACATCGAAATATTTACATTATGTAAAACGTTTATCCTCGTTCAAACTATGAAACAAAAGTTATTTGCAATCGACAAAAAATTGTGGAAGGCATATTAGCCCTAATATTATAAAACATACACATGTACGACCTTTAGTGATCCATTCATACGGAGTGAAACATGAAATCGATTCATGGATTTAGCAAATTATTTATAATATGCAAATGCAGGCTTGGTTGGCGATCATAACTTTTCATGATTATAGTCCGGTTCTGTACTTATTAGCCTTGCTTGTAAACTCTTTGGTTCGCAGATCACCTTAGTCTGTTGGCGAGTTAATCAGTTGAATGAAAGCCAAAAAGCCACAAAGACATTTTTTGCTTTTGACTCTTTTACGAGTTACAACTATTATTTGTGTAGGGTTTATATAACGTAGGTTGACTATGTAATAAAGTAAGTGGTTTGAACCCGGGAATATCGTTACATGTTTGTAAATGTAGAGTTAGGAGTAAACGTCAGGTTAGCCGTATTTGTTATCTGGTTCTTACGTCATTGTATTGTGTGTCAGGAAATGTGTGGGTGTCAATTGTGTATTGTCATTGTGAATTAGTGTGAAGTGTAATGTTTTTAGTTGATCGTTTGTTTGTATTGTGAATAAGTCGTTTGTAAGGTGCCGGTAATTGCTGTGATCTGTTCAGGGGGGTTTGTTCTAAGTTGGTATACCAACTTTCTAATGTAAGCCGTTGTCTATAGTCAATGCTGTAAGTAATGCATTTTGCCGACTGCCAGTCAATGTTGTGTTTTGTCAGTCGGTGATGTTTGGCAATGTGATTAGTTTTGTCTTGTTTCTTAGTAGCTCGTTTGTGTTTAGTAAGTCTTATGTTTAAGTTCTTGCCAGTTTTCCCGTTATAGGAGGCGTGGCAGTCGGAGCAGTTTATTTTGTAAACTGCACCTTGTCGTTTGTTGGGTTGTTCTTTGTCCTTGATGTTCGTTAGTACTTGTCGTAACGTTGTGATTGGTTTATGTGCGACACGTATGTTGTATGGTCGTAAGATACGCGAGATAGTCTCAGACGTACCTTTGATGTAAGGTATCGTTGCTGTTGTCACTGAGTTGTTCGTTTCGTTGGGTTCGTTGGGTTTGTAAGTATTGCGTTTGATAAAGTCAGAGTTATAGTCGTTTTTCTCAAAAACACGTTTGAGATAGTTGTTTTCGTTGTGTAGAGCGTCTGGTGAATCACATATGATTTGTGCACAGTCGAGAAGAGTTCCGTTTTCTTCGACATCTTTGGTACATTGTATGTGGCTGTTCTGTTTGTTGATGTGAGTATGAAAGTCATCAATGTCGTCTGCATGTAGTGCTGTGATTGTGTCATCTACGTAGCGGAACCAAAAAGGTAGTGCATGTTTGTAAGTCGTGAGCGACTAACTAGATTGACTATGAAAGTTATGTAATATGATACGTGTCAGCAGTCAAATAGTTGAAAGTATAGGCAGGAATTACATTTTAAGTACTTACGATCACTTGCAAATGTGCAAAGCGTTCTTACTAGCTTTCAAATATTAAACATTGCTTACTAATTAATATCGGCACTGTATCGTCGGAAATATGGCTATCATAAATATGTGTAAAACAAAAAAGTCGTAATGGTTTTGAATTATCGGTTGTGTGGAAGATATTTTCGTCAAAAAAGTGTTTTAAAACAGTTGTTGACGAGTATTTATAGTGAAATTGGTCTTTGGTGAAAATTATAATAAATTAATCATCAAAATTTCTAAGAAATCTTGGAGACTTCACTTTTCTTACTGTGAGCGTATTACTGAAATCTCAAACGTATTTGGTGTCAAGCATATTTAATGTAAAATGTACTGTGTTTATTATTTTACCACATGTACGCAATTCGTACCTATTTTTTAACAACATACTTGACTGTGAGACAGTCAACCTATCATGTGTATAACATGTGACATTTATGTTGTCTTTTTTCTATTGCAAAATACCGCTATCATATTTAGCTAACTTTTAGCTTGTTATTTTCTGAAGCAAATGAACACTGCATTCAGTTTACTTGCATGTGTGAACATAAAAATAATGTTTTCATTGTTTATTTTTGTGTGAAAAGACTAAAAGCCAAAATTACAACGACAGGTACATCGTATAGGGGTTGGTGTATGATCAAACAGCATACTATAACAGTGCCTTTTTTTGAAAATAGAATGCAGGAATGGTGGCTTATTATGTGGCAACAAAAAGAAAACATCCTTTTGGACATGAACGGCATAGACTGGACAACATTTTGAATGGAAACCCAGTTGGATTGAAGGAAATCAAGGATGCCACGTTCAAAGACCTTTTATCGTGAATGCTACAAGTATACATGATATTTTCACTGTAGATAACAATGTTTAGGTACAAATGTTCCAAGCTCAATTGTACACTCTCTTTTATGGTAGCGGGTAATTAATTCCATTTAATTCAGTATATATCAAAACCAATTTATAGTGTATAAGATATACAAAATTTAAAATATGTGTAAGCATAACTACAGTTTACAGATGAATTATCCGACCAGTTATAATTCCAAACAAAATTGATATAATTGCGACATACTGTAAGTGTAACGGTAATGTGCAACTAGATAAACACAATAAGTCATTGAAAAATGATCATCAACCAAAAAGTACCCGACATAAATCTTTTCTTTATGTAACTGTATGCTTAATAATGACATGTTTACCTTATAGCCGCGCATTTTTTTGTCCCTTGTAATACATTGTTCTAGATTTGAGATAACTAATATTGATTGTACGAGAAGATGTTTTTTATGACCAGTGATTATGACACGTGAAGGTATAAATTTTGATATTTTGACTGAGATGGATTGGTGTGAAACCAGTGAAACCCATTTCCAGTGGTGAAATCTCAAACCTGAGTCATGTCATATTTGCAAAATGTGCCCTGTTGCTGCCTTTTCTAACTGGACCGCATAAACAAGAATGTTTGGCAGAAGTTCGTTTGTCCATATCACAATAACATTGTTTTGAACTGAAAACGTGTTCCTAGGCATATTATAAACCTTGACTTTGGGTGAAACAGTCAAGTACTATTAATACTTTTTTTGATAATTTTTCTGATAATCATTAATAAATAAAATAGGTTTTTTAAGATTTGCGATTACTAGTTTTGATTGTATGAAAAAATATTTATTATCACTACTGATTATGTCACATAAAGCTACTTTGATATCTTCATGCTGTGTACTTGTCATGACATCTTGCCAGATTGACAGAAGATAATAGTAGGCCGTATTCTGTATCAAGAAAATGTGCTTAAAAATGATTTCTAAATGCCAAAATTCATGACTACATAAAAATAACAGAAAACTACTTATTATTACTGACTGAATATGATTTAATTTGTTTGCATCTCTTGAAATTGCAATCTTTGGTGTTTCAGTCCTCCAAAGTTTCATAATATTCGTTTAAAGTTTTACCTGTCGCCATCTTGTTTTATTTGTGAAACTGATGACAATATAGCAAAAATTGCGGGTGCACTGTTACATGATAGCAACTACTATCATGTAATATCATTTATAACCTATTATTAAATTATATTATATTACTAAGCATTCCATATTTTTATATTTTAACTTTAAAATCCATTTTGTAATGTCATTACTAATTAGGACATAGTCTAGAAGCTTGCTTGCATGCGCTAGAAGCTTGCGTACATGCGTAAACATATTTTGAAACCACAACCGCATTTGTTGTTATTGTGGTTAACTATTTAGTGCTGTAACATTCTGTATTGCGTATGGGATGTAGGTCACAAAACCACTATACTTCCCATTAGATATTATATATATATGAGTAGTTTACACCACTGAGTACAACCTACGAGCACAAGCTACGAGGAGATAAACTTAGGAGGCATAGACTACCGAAGTAGTTTGACAAGCTACAATCTACCAGACAACTATCTTGGCATTCATGCCATACTATCTTTTGGCTTTTGTGCCTTTAATCTATTTGGAAAACTATTGTGAGTCATTGTTGGACTCACGAACGCTCAAGAATAAAGACTCGCGGTTGTACTCAGACAGAGGAGATAAGTTTTATTCATACTTATTGATATTATTATTAAGACACTTATCTACTTTAGTATTTACGCGTTGGTTAATAAATTGTTTGAGAAATATAACTGGCTCACACTATCTTTGTTGCGTGTGGAAATAGAACCAAAATTAATAGTTATTCTTTCGGGACCACGCACGTAACATGCACAATGATCAAAACAAAACAATGGCGAGCTTGCGGGGTTGTGTAATCCATTTTAAAGGTGAAAATGGGCCATTGACTGATTTTACCGAGACATCTTTGAAAAAAGTTTTACATTGTCACGAGCTTTGGTTACTATACAATGGTGAGCAGAAAGACAACGCTGAAAAGAACAAAAATTTGATGAAAAAAATTCAGTCCATGAAAAGTCCTTTGGCTGAGTACCGTGGAGAGTTAAAGTACCATAGAAATTGCTATGCAAAGTTCACTAATGTCGGCCTAATTAGACGGGCTGAAAAAAGAATGAGCAAAAAGTTTGAAGCTTCAGCAGCCACTGTCAATGAAAACTATATACAAGAAAATAAGTCGACAGATGTAAATGAGCCTCACACGAAACTGCTACGATCATCCTCGTTTTGTCATGACAGTTCTAAACCTCCGATAAAAACTAAAGCAGTTTTGCCATCAATATGCATAATATGCAAGCAAGAAAAGTCCTTCGTCACTCAATCGGTAAATAATGTAACAAATAAACCAATATGGTACAGGTATTCCAATACCTGTTTTGTAACATCGTAATGTTCTGTACTTAATCTACCTACAATATGATTTCACTTTTGTTGTCTTATGATAGTGAGGAATGTGCAATTACAATTTTTCTTTCAGGAAACTAGAAAACGAGTTCTAGACAAACTAGTTACCGCAGAAACGAAAGATGGCGGAAAACTACGTGAAGCTGCAACCAGGAAAGAGGACCGAAGAATTCTGGTCCACATATTAGACAAGGAATGTAATGCCCTGGAAGTAAAGTATCATAGTAAAGGCTACAAAAGCTACACGTCATTTCTTTATAATACTACCTGTGCAAAAAAGTCAAATGAAAGTAGTTCTGGTCGCAAATGCTTATATGAAGAGTCATTCGCAGATTTTTGCAAATTTATCAAGAAAGCAATCATAGAAAATCATGGAATCTATTACATGAATGTTCTTAAAGATAAGTTTGTCAAAACAGTTAGATGCTTCGAGAATGCCGATGCTTCAAGCTATAGGACTTCACGATTGAAGGAACGTTTGCTAGACAGATTTCCCCAGCTTGTATTCTTCACTCCGAAAGTCCGCAATAAGAAGGAAATACTGCAGTAACTACGCCTCTGAAGGTGACGGCCCAATGAAAGAGCCGGATGAGTGCGCTGATAGCGATTACGATGATACCGACGATACACATGAAAACTTCATAAACGATTTCAATGAAATGTTCTATTAAGAATTCACTGCTTAGCAGTGTGTACAGCAGGAGCTGGATGCCGACCAAAGGATTCTGAGTACGCAATCTCATGTGCCAATTTATTATCGTTATATTATTTACACAAAAAGATGAAGGACTCCTTCGCAATTCAATTTCAAGAATTGTTATTTCATTTTTTAGTCTTTTTGTCCACAAACAGCTATGGAAGATTAATAGCTCAACATATCATTTCAAATTAACTTAGAAAGATTGATCGTTAATCATTATTTAGTGCCGTTTTTTGAATACGAGCCAGCAAATTTAGCGAATTTCACACAAAACAATATGGCGGATATAGAAAATAAATGTCGAATATTTGATGGCTCTAGCTCTCTTGATTGCAAGTTTTCGTGGTGTAAACAGGCAGATTTATATTAAGTGAGTACTTATGAGTACATCTATGTTGTTTTTACTTAGTCATGAATTTCTGCATCTCAACCTGAACAATAATCCACCAGAGAATACGGCCTATAGGAGAAGGGGTAAAGGGTCGGAATCAAATTACCCAAACATGTATAGATTTTTAGGGTTCACCATCTCCCAAACATCAGATTTCTCCCCCCCCCAGATCTAGATAAGTTTTTCACCCCTCTAACAAACATTTTAACTCCCCCAGATTTTGAGCAAAACACATCAGTAGTACAGTTGAATTAAGTTTTTCTGTGCACTGTTTCAACTTACTACACTTCCTTTGGTTGCTTCACTGTAAAACCGCCCACGTAATTTAGCCCTTACTTTGTCTTATGTCACTTCCTTTTTTTTTTGCCACCTATGATGTTTAGCACTACCCCTGTAAAAATATGAAAACCTGTTTATGTGTGAAACATGAGCTATTTCATATCCATGTCCATGAACTGTCCCATGTGGTACCATATGTAGAAGTGTAATGGTGGGTCTCGGGGGACGGCTTGACAGAAATTTCAAAAGACTATTTACGTTAGAATAAATTAAAGGCGTAAAGTTTATGTTCCTAGGCATGCTGATAAGCTCTGACATTTTTTGAAACAGCCAAGTGTCGTTCACTTAATTGCTTTTCTGAGAAAACGTTTGGAAAGAATGTTGTTTTTACACATAAACGATGCGCACTTTTCCAATGCAAAATTTACAGGGGAAACACCTCCAGCGTTCTATAATAGGCTTGTCAATAATCCTGTATTTATTTGGAAGAAAGCATTTATAACTACAAGTTTTAGAAGAGCTTTGAAAATTTGCTTTGAAAATTTTTGAAGAAAGAAATCAATCAGATCAAGAAAAGAATAATGAATCATATGAAGAAAATTTAGAGGTGATATCTGTTAAAATGAAGTTAATTTATTTTGTGTTTTTTTTTAATAATAGCTGCTGCATTGCTACGGTGTATTCCTTATCTTCAGATTTCAAGTTCTATGTGGATATAAAATATGCATTAAATCATTCGCAAATTCATTTATTCTACCTTCCCTGCCGTCCTCACTTCCCCGCCAAGACAAAATATGGAATTTTTTAAAGAATTCTTGCTGCTGTGATCTTTTGAAATGCTCCATTGTCCAAAGATATATTTATACGCGATGCAAAACAAGTCATACGTATTATTTTGATAGTTGATTCTCATCAGACGAAGCAAAAACGTTTAAGAAGTGGAACAAGCACTGAAATTATTGTAAGTTTTATTTGTATCGTATTCTCTTCATGATTTAACACTGCTACGCTTTGCCATAAAAATTTGCGAATTTATTCAGTATATGTAATGACAATGTTAAAATTCCATTGCGTCAAACGTTTGATTTTATCACCATGAATTTGACTTTCTATCACCATAAGTTTGTACTTTCGATGTGTTTAAATCCCAATACTATATTTTTAATCGTATAGCAATAGATTTCTACAAATCACGGAAAATTGGAAAGGATCGAGCGATTTTACTGTGCCGACTAAAGCAATACCAAACGATTCATTAGGCTTCAGTTTTCTTGCATTTTTACTTATAAGTAAAGCTATACATACAAAATAGCCTTATAACAAGGCTATTTTTGAGTTCATATCATCTGAGCAACTTTGTTAGGTTGTGTATTAAAAATTTATCTTGTTCATTCGTCATGACAAAGTTGTTTGAACTACGTAGGCGGAAATGGACACGCAAGCAAATTTCTTTTTTCTTGCATGGGAAGACCGGTTTCGGGAAAATTTATAAAAAAAATTACAAAAAAGAACAGTTCCTTTTTTAATTATTTGATCAAGCGACTAACAACTGTTAGAGAGTTCTGTAAATGAAAAATTACCTGGATTTTCCAGCATTTAAATAAACATACTGTTCAAGTTTGTCGTTTGCATGTTAATAGCCGTTTGAATAGGGGAGCTTTATGTTTAAGAGAGCATTGATAGTCTTGGTGAATGTTAAGTCAATCACAACTTCAACAAATGTTCAAGACTGTCGGCGAATATCATCTTTTTAAAAGTAAAGGTAGCCACAGTCGCTCGGCTAAAGTTACTGGTTCATTAGACACATGCATGCAATGGCACCCTAAAGCAGGAAGTCAAATATTGCCGAATATTTTAAAATGACTTGTTCTTTCACAATTGTAATTTCTTTGCAATATGATTGCGATATGAGTAATATATAGTCGTATCACTTATCTTTTATAACTTAGACATGAATTGCACGCAGCTTTCATCAACATTATATTAGCTCTACTGCATCATGTATTATATGATAGCGGCACTTGTCGGTCTTTACTTTGACATGTTTACAACATATTGGAAAGTACCTTTAATTTCTTACTACCTATATTAGTTATGATCTTGAATAATTACTATAGATAGATAGATAGATAGATGATTTATTTCTTAAAACTGGCAGCCATATTGCTGAAATACGTTTAAGATTACATATAATACATATATAAATAAATTAACTAAATTACATCTTCAATGAGTTATAAGTTATAAAACTATTTCTAAAACGTTTGGTATTAAAGTTAGTATTAAATGAAGATTGAGTCCTAAGTTCCATAGTTGAACGTTCTAAACGAGGAGGTAAAAGGTCATGAAGCTTATGTGAGGAATCTGCTACTATCTTCTGAAACAACGCTGTTGTTATATTATTCCTCCTTTCGCCAAGGCGTTGCAAATTAGTAAACTGCAGAGCGTTTTCATATTCTTGATGAGGCAGGATTATTTTTAATGCTCGCTTTTGGACTGACTCTAGGTCAACTGACAGATACAATGTCAGACTATTGTGGAACACTGGGCAAGCATACTCCAAGACAGCTCTTATACACGTTTTGTAAAATTGGAGCAATTCCTTGACTTCGATATTTGCTTGTTTTAGTTGAATAAGATAATAGAGGCGTTTACGGCATTTCTTAATTATTTCATTTACGTGGATGTTCCACTTAAGGTTACTGGCGATAACCAATCCCAAAACTTTCGCGTGTCGTACAATATCCAGTGTAATGTTATTGATGGTAATTGGTTGAAGGTCATTGGTATTAGATCCAAAACAAATTCGCATCTCTTTACATTTGGTTTCATTTAACTGGAACTTATCACGCGAGATGCTGTTCGCTAATGTGTCCATTTGGTTTTGTAAGTTACTTGTTTGATCTTTCTTAATTACTTCACTAACAGTGGTATCGTCCACGAATTTCCACATTTTTCCACGAATTTCCATATAAACAGTGCCGTCCAAAATTCTTGTATGTGCAATCTTTATAGAATATACTTAAAGTTCTTACATCAGGGTCATGGAAATAACTTGTTTACATAGTTAAATAGAATTTAAGAACATTTGCTATGTAATCGACCGGAAGAAAATTTTACTTTTATGGCCGAGATTTGGGTACAAACTTTGCGGGCTGACGGACCATTTTGCCCGACAAAAAAGGCGTAGCTATAGACTTACCCGATGAATTTTGAAAGCTTGTAAAAGTAATTTATGGGACAGATATATAAAATAAATGCAATTTTCAATATTATGCAATTTTCACTTGCATAATAACTCACCTTGTAAAATAAAGTTTTACGGCGCTAAATAAAAATCATGGCTATACGTCACATTTGTCGCAATAATGAGTCGTGAAATTATGCATTTTTTTATAACTTCTTAAAATCACAATAAATGCTAATTCAACTCAATCTTGAGATCCTCTAATCTAACGATTTCGGACTAATCGCTATAAAGATTGTATGTACGCTGTAATGAACTCAAATTATAAAATTTAATCATTAAAGTGCAGTAGCTAAATGCTTTCTGAATACTTTGTAACATATTTATAATTATTTTACAGCACGTCGGGGAAACATTGTGTTTAGTGGCCTAAGAAACGTGTTGCATATTGCTCACTAAAAAGCTGAGGGCAACAACGGGTCATGGTTTTAAGCCAAAACGTAAGAGCACGCAGGAGAGTTTATCGTGAAAACGTTCACAAAATTTGTTACTGTTTCTTTAGTTGCTTTTTTGTTAATCAAAAATTTTTATCTATCATCACTGATGCAAAATCAAGGTCAGCTTTGCTAGCAAACCTTTCCACTTTTTTTTGGACAATCAATTGGAAATACTGTAAAACTATATATGCCTAAACGTTTGCACTGTTTTAAGTTTATTTAAAGAAGGCGTCTTTACGAGCACGAGCATATTGTTTGTTAATTGCAGATGGGAAACGTACTATTCGTAATTTCTCAAATGTTTGTGTGTGTAACGGTATTTTTGTCGCAGCTGAGGTTGTTATTGAATTTCCTACATTACGTTTCTACTCTTTATTGTCCATTAATACCAATCAGGATATTATTCAACAAAGCATACACGAGTTCATTTTTCATTACAAGTAAATACAACAAACTATAAGTTAATGGAAACTAGAGCATAATTCACACGACATAAATTAATCTGGATTCACCCCAGGTTCAAATGAGCCCATGTTTGTCGTTCTTGGTGGGTGAACACTACTGATTCAGGTGTTTGATCTGGGTTTAATTCATTCGACTTCTTCACATGGGTTGAGCTAAACCCAGGTTTAACTTGGTTTGTTTATGTCGTGTGAATTGGACTTAGCATAAAATAAATCTAAACAGCTTCTAAAACTAAACGGAATTTCCACATATCATTTTGAGACGACATGCAACTGTCAAATATTTTTAGTGCATGTTATCTCAAAATTGTTAATGGTTGTTAAAATCATCCAACATGGCGACTATGACGTAGCTTGCAACCCAATAATAGTGAATAATGATGTTGTAGCAACTGCTCTAAAAAAATCGCCCGAAAAAAGATGCCACATATGTGTGTACTTTGACCACATCATTTGAGCGAATAATCAAAGACAACGTTTAGAAAGTGTAAAACTGCGTTTCCTCTTTTTACGTCACTTCCGGTACGAAGTCATGAATTTTTAGGTGCAAAAAGCCATTGCAAAAAGCCCATAAAGATAAAAATTTTGTCCTATCAAATATATTGCAAATGTTCTTTAAATCAATTTAACTATCAAAAGAAGTTATTTCCCTGATCCTAATATATCCATTTACTTACATTGCCTTCAGGGAACGTAGATAAATGTAGTGATATACAATTTTACGAATGTATCAACTTATTTACATCATTAAAGACAAAGTAATGTTATATAATCTTTTAAATTTCATTTATGAATAAAATAAAAACGTGGTCAATAATGACTGTTTGATGATGCTGTAAAGCGTTGCATTTAACTTTATTTAAATTAAAAATAAGTTGGTGCGTTTTATCATTGAAAAAAAACTTATTTCCTGGTATTTTTGTAAAGCGTTAACTAAAATAGATATGATAGTGTAAGATTTTTGATGAATGTGCTTTATTTTTATTCAAGTCATGTCATGAATGGCTGCCATTTTAGATGATTTTAACAAAGGATTTTCTTCATGCGCGTACGGGGCCAAAAAAAAGGGGGGTGCTGACACTTTCTTGCCCGACGAAAACGAAAACTGGCCGACGTGAATTTTATTGATATAAAAAACACTATATGCCTGGATTGCTGTCTAAAACATATTAATAAGGTCAATAATATCGCTAAATTGTTTTAATACTTCATGTTTGTGTATTCATTGCCTGAGTACTTCAACTTTTACTAACTGACAACGTACCATGCATACTTAGCTATTTGTGGATAAAATATTCTGTCATTTATCATAAGCTTAAAGGTCACCGATTGCTACGCATTTCTAACCACTGTTTCTAACTGGTTGTAAATTTTGCACAAAACGGCCAAAACAATGCTTGTAAGAACAGAAAAAACTATAATTTATTGCAAATAATGCATAGAAGTCCATGGATGGTTAAAAGCTTGCTAGAAGATTTGTCAAATAATTTATTGCGTGACTATGAATTCATTAGTGAAACATCATACAAATGAGATCAGTACAAATTTGTTAACTGATTATTGAAGACTTACCATAGGATAACACGTGGGAATGTAAATATGGCGTACATTTTGCAAATTTCTCCATGATTTTAATTTCAATGTTTTTGCATTTCTGTTCAACATAAGGCACCTACCCTAGAGATGTTCATTATCACCTTGGCCTGAAACATTAAAGAGACCTTTACAAAGTTTGCATGACAGTTTCCTGAAAAAGGGATTAGTGATGGAATGCAGTTCTTTCGCCCACAAATAAAATTAGCGCATGACAGAAAAAAAATGACGCAGAAGAAAAACGACGCCTTAAAGTTCAGACACTCAATAAAAAACAATATTATTTTCGATAAAAGATTGTGTTATTTTCCCCTTTACGTTTTTTTCTAATGACATTGTCATTCTGTTAAAATTTAACAATAGAAAAAGAGTTCATATAAAGCGAAAAACACACCACTCTTTTCAATACACCTGTTTGAATATTTATCTTGGTAGTTTTCTGTTGTCATACGACGTTAAACTATTAACTTATTCCACCAATATATATTTAATTCAATTTAAATGTGAAAGCCAGAAAGACGTAATGACGGATGGAAAATATTGCCTGGTAAATTTTAAAGCCTTAATGTTTCTGTACCCCAAATATGGTTTAGATAAAAATACTTGTTTTACACATTTAAGCTACGCACAAATGTTTTTATCTGAAAGTATTACTATAGGAAAAGGTCAAAGAGAATTTGCCCAGTAATAAAATTTCTTCCTATTTGCTTGTTGAAATTAGTTTTGTTAATTAAAGTATTTTAATTTGCTTATTGTTTTGTCCACAAAAGACCAAATACTGCCCGACTTTTGGGTAGAAATTGCCCGACGTTACTCCTTTTGCTCTAAATTGGGGGTGCTGCAGCTATCCAGCACCCCGGCCTCGTACGCCAACTATTTTCTTTATTTACTTATTCACTTATAAGTGTCATTTAACGTGGCAAAAATTCCATTATTCTTTCACTCCCTCCAAGGGGAATGGTTGCACACCATTTTAATATTTTAGAATTTTTAGATCATGTTTATAGTATCGTACCTCACAATGAGATTTTGCACTCTTTTAATTTTTTGCTTTTTGAACAATTGTCGTACCGTCTTAATACATAAATTTTATTATTACAGATTTTTTTAGTTTTGATCTTTCTTGCATGCCACTGAAATGGATCAAGGCAAATTATTTACAAAAGGTAACGTTTACGACTCTCGTTACTCAAGTCTAAAAACTCTCAACAGAGGCTGTATTATAGAGTTTTTCATCTCTGTGCCTCCACTATTATGTTAATTGAAAACATGGTAAGATAAACATCATTCAGACGTCAACATTTTGGGGTTTTTCAGAAAGTGACATTAAAGATTCCTCCTTTTTGGAAAGTGATGCCAAAAATCCAAATGCCCAAAGTGATGCCAAAGAGTCAGAAGGTAACGTTTCTCAAAGCTCCACAATTATCTGTAAAAGTAACGGAGAAAACACACTCCATAAAACATCATCTTGTAAACTCAAGATTCGAGTTATAACAGCACGAGACAAGATTTAAAGCAATATTTCAACTTTCATTTCAAAGTCATTATCACTTGGCTTGATCATGTTTCTGAAATGAAGTCGAAATATTGCTTTAAATCTTGTCTCTTGCTTTTAGAACTGTAATCTTGAGTTTGCAAGATGATGTTTTTTGGAGTGTGTTTTCTCAGTACATTTTGAAAGTGGCGGCTGGAAAAAGATCTGTAAAAGGAATTATTGAAAATATGCTAGTTTAGTATCGTTTAATATTGTATATGATCAACATTTATTAAGGTGAAATCAAAATAATTGCTTAAATATACGTTCATATCGCAGAAAAGGTTGTTAAATCAGTTAACTTGTTATGTATGAAAGTAAATATAAAATTTCTTTTCATTGGTTTTATTGCAAATTTGCAATTAACATTCTATGGCTTTTTCTTGTATTTTCAAATTCTTCTAGAATTCCATTCTATTTTGTTCCTTTTTCACATTCTTTTGAAATGTGTTGTTTTATTCCATCTAAGGGGTCTATTATCAATAAATGTAAACGTTACTTGCATTAATTTACTTTATGCTATTTATATATTTGTAGTGATACAACTCGTTTTTTATTTTCATAACCCATTGGAGCCTAAAGGCAGCCAAAAGCTCATTACTATTAGAAATTATGTCAGTGCACGTTTCACTACATTCCATCAACATTGTTTTTATTCTTTTTTTACCTTGCAGATAATCTGGAGGAAAGGCGAGCTCGTAAAGGTTAGTACAGTCGTGTACTTTTAGTCGTACCATTGATAAATTTTTATGACTGTTTATGCCAATTTGTATGCATTGTATTTGAGCTTAGTTAATTTTAGAAAGCTTTTTGTCTTAATATGGTCACAATTTTTTAACAACAAGATAGTAAATTTAACGATTTTGTGCATTATATAAAGTTTGTTTTTAATTGCAGGATCCTGCTTTGGATTTCTAGGTTAGTATGATCTTGACATGCTTATAATATGCATAACTAAGTGCAACAAATAGTTTTAACATAGGAAAATGCTGGAAAATTTTGGAAAATGCTTATAATATGCATAACTAAGTGCAACAAATAGTTTTAAAATAGGAAAGATACATTTGCTTCCCTCTGCAAGACCATTTAGTTATTATAGAATGTTCATTAATATCCGAAAACTTCAGAATAAAAAATTCTTACCATTGATAAATTTTTATGACTGTTTATGCCAGTTTGTATGCATTGTATTTGAGCTTAGTAGATTTTAGAAAGCGTTTCGTCTTAATATGGTCACAATGTTTTAACAACCAGCAGGGCCTAACTAGAACGTTATTTGGGGGGGGGTTGCATATTCATATATTCCGTTGTGCCCTACTGATTTCTTTTGAAAGTGATTTGAATTTCAAAAGAAATCAGTAGGGCACAACTGAATATATGAATATACGCACACCCCAATTAACGTTCTAGTTACGCCTCTGACAACAAGATAGTAAATTTAACGATTTTGTGAATTATATAAAGTTTCTTTTTAATTGCAGGATCCTGCTTTCTATTTGTAGGTTAGTATGATCTTGAAATACTAATGGCAAATGCTTATAATATGCATAACTAAGTGCAACAAATAGTTTTAAAATAGGAAGGATACATTTGCTTCCCTCTGAAAAGAAAAGATTTGAGAAGAGTTACTTTTATAGGTTTTATTTCTTTGAACTATATATGTTATGTGTAGATATGAAATTAAAGCATTTTTTTCTATTCTACCAGTGGCGCCGGAACCACGGGGGCAGCGGGGGCAGCGCTGTGCCCTTTGCCGCCATATAGCGATTTCAAACACTCACTTCTTGCATCTGATTTTTTTCCGGGTAATACGCTTCGATCTCGGAAGGGAAGGTGTTAAGATAAGCGGAAAAAACAATTCCACGTTCTATGGGATTTTCATTGAAAACTTTCAACACATAGATATTGTAGGAAAAACAAACATGTAGAGTGGAAGCACTGTTTCAAAACAAAGAATAAAGATAGTGATGTTTTTCATGTTTATGAAAATGATTTTGTGGGAATCAAGATAGCGTTATGAATTATAGATGAGAGGTGTAATACGTAATTGGAATAAATGTAATTATATAATCAAGTCTAAAAAATCTAAAATACTGCTTGTAAATTTGTAATAGTACACAATAAGAACAATTAAAAAATTGTTTAATATTCGTTCGTCTTGTTAGCACGGGATAAATTGTGCTCAACTAATCAACTCAACAATGCACAATACTAAATAGTGACAAAACAGTTAAGTAAATGTTTATAAATGGAATACACGAGGAAGTATAGTGTATATTTTCCATTTTCGTACTATTGAGAATTTCAAATGCCAAAATCGAGTCGCCTACAAAGTCTTGCTAAAAAGCAGCTCTTGGAAGCTTCAAAAGTACGTGGTCAAACCAAATTTTCTTTCGTTACGCAATCTGAGACATCTGCTGTTGTCGATGATAATCCTGACTGTACCATAAGCACAACCGATTACAGAAGTACTGATGCTAGAGATAAGGAAGCCTGTTCATTTACTCAGCAGTCAGGTCAAGAAGTCGACCCTTGGATTAAAGCGACGAATTCTGGCCTGTATTTTATACCAAACGTGAAGCGTATGAGCGAAAATAAAGTAGATATTTTCAAAAGGAGTGGTTTGATGATCATAAGTGGTTATGGCATCACAGAGGAAAAAAGGCAGCATTTTGTGGAGTATGTACTTTGTTCAAGCAACCTTATCATTCCTCGCCATTCATCTACTACTTTTATCAAAACTGGAAAAAAGGCAAAGAAAGACTAGAAGACCACGAACGTAGCGAGAATCGTCGACATGCTTCAAAAGAATCGACAAGGGAGCGACCTGATGTGGCAAGCCAGACAGATGATCTACGTCAAAAGCAGCAATACCTTAGACGGATTGGTTTTATAGCTCATTTGAATACTGTGAAAACCCTTTTGAGGCAAGGACTTCCAATTCGGGGTCATAATGATGAAGATTCGAACGTTTTTCAGTTTAATAAGGATAAAGCTCGCAATGATAGTGGTTTGCATCTGCTAACGAGTGAAAATCGATATTTTTCGCACGAGATCCTCAATGAGAATATCTAATCGTACTAGAAGCCAGACGAAGATTGGTCAAAGAAATTAATTCAAGCAAATTCTATTCTGTTATAAGTGACGAAGCAAGTGATATTTCGAAAGTGGAGCAGTTGTCATTTTCCATCCGTCATTGTAATGATAGTTACGAGACTTTCGAAGACTTCGTCGGTATATTTTCATGTGACGAAGGCCTAACATCAGATGCTTTGCTAAAGTATATAGAAGACATACTGCTACGATGCAGTATGGATGCAGATAAACTTGTTGCCACGGCTTTTGATGGAGCATCATCCATGGTACGACTCGCTGAACTTCTGAAAGAACATTTTGGCGAAAATATTATTCATATCCATTGTTTGGCACACTGCAACGAGCTTGTGCTTAAAGATGCCACAGCTTTGTCTCCGCTAATTGCTGATGCACAAGATCTTTGTTAAGAATTGTATGTTCTAGTTGGCATGAGTCCTAAACGCGTCCTCCTTTTTGAGAACATGCAGAAAGAAATCACGCAAGATTCGGAAATGTCTCCAATTATTCTGACCTTAAAAAAACTATCTCGAACAAGATGGACAACAAGAGCATCCGCAGCTGCAGTGCTGTTAAAAAAAAACCCGGACCTACAGGCAACTTTGAAGCATCTTTTTCAAAAGACCCAAGCGTAAAGCGCGAGTGTCTTTCAAGATCAAATAGATTGCGTGAGAAAACCAAATCAATACGACAGATGTTTCAACTGGTAGCTATGCATGAACTTGCAAATTTACTGGAAAATAATTCGAAGCAATTACAATGTGCATCACTCACCGCAGAACAGGCAGTTTACAGCATTAAGAAGCTTGAACTGCGTCTTAAAGAGCTGCGGTAAGAAGAAGAGTTTCAACGTCTGTTCGATCATGCAAAAAAGATTGTCGGTGACTTACAAGGTGAAGATGAAACGCTAGTTACGCAAGAATCGAAGAGAAGAAGGTCAACTCCTTGACACCTGTCTGATTATGTCGCTCATTCCAATGCGCCTTCATCAGCAAGAGCAATGGACACTAGAACAGAACTTTTGCGTGTTTATTATGAAGCTGTTGATTCTGTCGTAGATGCAGAGCAGAGACGTTTTCACCGAGAGGATATGAAAATTCTTGAAGTGATAGAGTCATGTCTTCTTGCAGCAGAGAATAAAACAATTCCCCTAGATGAAATTCGTCCAAAATTAGGACATTTACCTTCAGTTATGGATAAGGACTCATTGGTGGTTCAACTAGGTGAACTACCAGTTGTACTAAAGCTTTTCAATGCAGAACAGTCTGTACCCATTAAGGAAGTCACGAGCCTCTCAACACTTTGCAGAATATTTAACGAAAGAAACAGCTCCAAGAAATGTCTGTCTGAAGTGCATAACTATTGAAATTTTACATGTCCGTTCCAATTAGTTTAGCTACAGCAGAGAGAAGTTTTAGCGTGATGCGTCACAACAAATCATGGCTCAGATCCAACATGTCTGAGAACAGCCTAAACAACAGAATGTTTGCTGCTATCCACAAGAAACGCATTGACGAGGTTTCCACCGAGAATATAGCAAAGGCGTTAGTAATGGCAAATGAGCGTCGCCGTAGTTACTTTGAAAGATATTAATAATATGTATCTATACTATACCAAATCTGTTAACGTTAAAATAGGTAAATAGGTATTGAAAGTCTTTGCGTATTCATATGTTTAAGCGTCTCAAAATGAAAGTGCCCTTTTTTAAAATTCTGCCCCCGTAGCCCTAAATTGCTTCCGGCGCCTTTGTATTCTACATACAGGATGCTGTTTTCCAGGTCAGTGTGGTCATGCAACATGCCAACATTATTCATGTTTACGCGTCTTTGAATTAGTCAACTTGTCATTTGCAAATATGAAAATAATTGGTTTTTTCTTCATTGCAGGAATGTGTTGTCAATGTTGTGCAAGTTAGTATGGTCATGTAGTACATTAATACTATCAATGTAGCTCTTGTTTATATTTATGAACATTTTATTCTTCAATTCATGCTTCAAATTGAAGAACCCGCTAAACTGCTTTTATAAGATAGACTTTTTCGTCTCAAAATAACTCAACTTTTTTGATACATGTATGTGAATGTAGATCGTCCAGGTTGGTATAGTCCTGAGAAGGACTATTTTTGTAGTTGTTGACTGACGTTTCGACAACCTTAGCGGTAGTCATCTTCAGAGTCAAATGAGGAGTAAACGTCAGGTTAGCCGTATTTGTTATCTGGTTCTTACTTCGTTGTATTGTGTGTACAATCTGAATAGCTTCTTTTTTGAGCTAAAGTAATTGGTTTGAACTTTTGAACTTCGTTATATTAAGATGTAAATTGCAGATGTAAATTGTTTAGGTTAGTGCAAATCTGAGAAAGACTGTTGGTGTTAAATTTTGAATGACGTTTTGACAACCTTATATAGCTGTTATCTTCATAGAGAAGTGAGGAAGAAATTTCAGGCAAGCAGTTTAGTTGTCTGGATCTGTAATTGTATTGTGAGTTTTTGTCGTGGAATATATGACAACATGTAGAAAATAAGATTCCTGAACTTCATGAGAGAAGATTCAAAATGTCAACAGTGTAAGTTAGAGCTGCATCAAAAGAGAAATTTTGGCAAGAAAAACTATAAATGGGTTGTGCTAACCTTTCACTGAGGGGTGCTCAACCCACAGAAGGTTCTATACTTCTATTGGGCAAAATGATGAGATGCAGAAATCCATGAACGCTTTCATTTCATGTATCATTTTTTATTATTATCAGATTTATTAGCATTTACACGAACATTTTCTTTTCACTTGATTCTCAATATCACTGCGGCAGAGTAAAGAATGTGGTTGTGGTACCAGGTACCAAGTAGCAAGTACTGGGTAACATGTAGCGGGGTGATACCAGAGAAGACTGGTACTATTTAGCAGTATAATATAATACCGGATAAACGCTTTATCAAAAAGGCGTATTGAACTTGTTGTGGTAAAAAAAACGGCGATTCAATGAAGAAACTTAACGAATTTAATTGTAAATCTTAAAAGTTATATTGTCCGAAGCTTTTACCGTTTTTGACAAAAAAATATTCATGTGTTTATGTTGTTTTGTATAACATTGGAAGCATTGCGAATTGAAATTTGTGTTTGCATGCATGAAAAGCTGAATATACTGACAGAATATTCTGATATTTTGTCTTCGATACGTTGCTTCCTCCATTTGTGCACACGTAATTTTCCTCCTTTGACGATAAACACAACAAAATACTTTCTTGGCTTCCTTTCAAAATCAACGCAAAATGCAGGAGGAATTTACTACTTTAAAGCAAGAACATTTGGAATACCAAAAACACTAGAAAAAATGTTAGGGTTTTCCAAGAAAGAAAAGTAAAAAGCAAGCAATGCAACAACTGCTACTTCTTTTTTTTCTTACCGCAAAAGTGGTAATTCCACGGAATTCTCAAAGCGAACCTGCAAATATTTATTTTCATTGCGCAATTAATCACAATGTGTGGCAAAGACACAATGCTACTTCTATGGGCGGCTGTATTCAATTCTTCTTAAATTAGGCACATCTTAGATAGCAATTGGTCATGCAATATTTTGTGATTAGCTCGGTTACAACAACAGGTTTATTTGTCCCTAAAAAGAAGTAAAAAGAATCATTCACACATGACACTGATTGAAAATATACTGGTCTTGATTTTCACTCTTTAAATATCACTGAGTTTTCAAAGTAGATGTATACGACTGATATTCAAATTGACAACTGATGTATGAATTGACGTTGTTTTGGGATGGATTTGTGTGGTTGTTAATTCCCGTTTGCTGTTATTATCAACTGTCTTCGAGCAAAGTCAATTCATTTAAGAGGCTTTTCGTCTCTATTTAGTCACAATTTTAAAAAATAAGATATTGAATTTGAAGTGTAATTCTTAAATGTGATAATAATGTGATTTTTTTATACATTGCAGATAGTAACGATGATGATGAAGGTTAGTTTATCATGTAGTATAATACTTACAAATGTTTATAAATAACGCATTAATGACAATAGTTTTTATCGCCGTCAAGTTATTTATGTACCGACAGATCTATTTAAGCATTTATCTTCTCCAGGTGTCTCAATTCTCAGGTTTTCTTTTGAAGATGGCATATTTGTTCTCTTTCAAGTTACTTAGCATTCCAATTCTTTTTTTCCTTCGGTTTGTTGCTATAAACTCTTTCCTCGGCCACTTATTTCAACACGTTATTACTGCGAAAGATTTGTCAATTCTACCTCTTTTTAATTCTATGGTATTTCTACCGAACATCTCTCTTTTTTCATCTACACCATCAACATCACTTTTATTGTTTTCCTTTCTATTCAGCCTTCTCTCCATTCTTCCCGAGATTCACATCACAAGTGCCTCTATCTTTCTCATATCCTTCCTTCGCTTTTCATGACAATGATCCAAAAAAGATACTGCAAACACTAAACAACTGTTTTGATGATTCAATTTTTCTATTTTCTACGTATACCTTTTGTGAGTACTTTCCTTTTGTTGAAAGCTGATTTTGCCATATCTCTTTTCATTTTTATCTCTTGTAATTATCTGTTATCAAGGAACCCAAATAACAAATATGTTTTACAGGCGTAATTCTTCATTCAAAACTATATCAAGATTGCCACCAAATTGTTTGGAAACTGCAGTAACTTTTGTCGTCTTTATATTTATGCTCATACCATATTCTCATGATACACCACCCAATCTATCTAAGATATTCTGCATAATTTTTTTCGTCATAAATGCGTGTTAATATCCGTAAGAAACAATTAATTTCAAAAGAACTTGATCTTGCAAAACATGTATAATGAATATTATTATGTCATCATCGAGTTAGCTGCGCCCCTTAAGAAAGCTGTGTATTGTATTATATTATCATTTGGTAATGTTTTTTTTTGCATTGTTCCAGCTTCAAAAATAACAGAAACTTCTGAAAGTCATATGAATGACAATCGCGGTTTTGAAGACAGCGATGTAATATCTTCATCAGGTAACAAAATTTTTATTTTTCAGAAAAATCATTCTTCAATGTCGTTCTGTTTCCTGCTCATCTCTCAGCTCATACTTACAATGTAAATTTTACATTAAAGTGTATAAGAGTGATCATTGAAGAAAAACAGTTACGCAATGCGTACATGTAACAGCCTTTCTTCAACACAATTCAAATGACTCATATTTGACGAACAAACAATGTATGAGACATTTATATAAGATTTATAAAAGCCTCTTTAAGAAGTGAAAGATTATAATTTTACAACTATAATAATAATTGTGTAAATAATTGTCAAACAAAACTTACGCAAGGTATTGAAAATCTCGCACAGTGGGCTGGCCAAAAACACAAAATAGTGAATTATCAATAAATACCACAAATTTATACAATGAATTCTTCATTGCTAGGGCATTTATACTCTAGCAAAAGATGGTTTCGGTAGTGTGACACCCTGTATAATTGTACTGCACAGAAATAAATATCACGTATCATATAGCGTCGTTCTAGCTATTATTTACTTCATGGGATACAACAATATCATGACTTTTGCATGGCTTTACAGAAGTTTATCATAATTTAGCCATTCATATTCACGCACGTTTGTCGTCATACTAAGCATTGGAGCGTAAGTTTAAAATGTCATTATCCTAAGGCATAGCCTGAGTTCGTGTAACCCATACAGTCTCTTTTTGCGTTCCTAAATATATGACCAAAACATGGATGTCTTTTAAAGTACAATTCTTAAAGTTTTCAGCGACTAAAAATCAAACACCTCTCTTTAAGCTTTAGAATAAGTTTTAAAAAAACCACTGATGACTGTTAGAAAAAAGTTAGCCGCATCATGAGCATGACAAGCCAGTCTGTGATTATGTTTTATAGTTAGATTGAATTGCTTAGGTACTTATTAAAATGCATTTTCAAGCAGTTACTTTGCTGTGTGTCAATGTAATTATACTGTTTTTTTTTTATATTTAGTTTGTTGTGCAATAGAAGAGAGTGCATTTTATTTCATTGTGAATCCACAGCTCTATCCGCAGCTATTGGTGCTAACTATTTTATGACTCCTGTCAACTTTGAAATCTAATTTATGTTTTAGTTTCCCATAATGATGAACTTGAAAAAGTAGACCAATCTTCATCTTCTAGTACAATAAGTAATACGACTTGTTGATATTTATTAATGGAACTTGGAACTCTTTTCTTTGCACTAATGTTCTTGTCTTATTCTCTTCAGAGCAACATACAAAACGAGGGGGTGTTTTTCCAAATATCACGTCTTTAGAAAGTGATGACGAAAGTAAAATGAGAGGTAATGAAGTGAGAAAATATTGTGGAATAGCTCACCAAATATTACCTTAATCTTGCTGCATGTGATGTTTTGTAATTATGTTATCATATAATTGCATTGTTACAGCATTTGAAGATGTTAACGTTGCCAAAAGTGCTGTGCCTTCTAAATCGGAAGCTGGTAAGTAACAGTCTTTTCTTTACTTCCTAGCCTCATATTATCAACGTAAATTATACATGTAATTCTACATTTTACATACACAATTACTAGTTTCTTTACTGAATTTCTAAAATACAACATTACTACTAAACTTTTCAAATTTTAAGAGGTGAGCTAAAACTTTTGCATAGTACTGTACTGCATATTTACATAAGATCGTTACACCTGAATATTTGCATAAGATCGTTAAAAGGATGCGAAGGCAATGTGGGCAGCAAAAAATTAAAATGCATGCCAAAAAATGTTCTTTATGAAAATGCTCTTTGTGACTTAGATAATGGTGTGAGCTGTTAAAAAAATCACAAGCGTTGTTTTCAAAATGTCAGCGTTTTGACAGATTGCTATTTTTATCCGAAACCTTCAGAATAAAAAATTCTTATCATTGAATGAATTATTTAATTGTGTTGTGCTCAGCAAATATCAATTATTCATTACATTGACGGCAAATAGATTATTTAATTTACACTCCTGAAACTGAAAACGATTGATGCGTTGGCGTTATATTTTGTATCTCCCTACCACTTGGTTTACTTAAGCAAAACTAAAATAATCTGTGTTTGCTCTTCCACAAGTCTCCGACTTTTTATCTAATGAAAAGAAATGCGCAATTGATCAGTTAACTGCCACGTGTAAATTTAACATAACGTTGTTTTTAAGATATATTTTTTTAATACTGCAATATAAAAGAATCGACATCGTAAAGGTCGGTATAGTCATGCAAAAACTAGTAGTAATAATGTTTATATGGTTGTTTAAGTCTGCTTATGTTCAATGTATTTAAAAAGCGTTACCTTCAAACTCCGGTTTTTCTCTCTCAGCTTGTTTACCCGTGCAAAATTCAAACAGTGGCTGTAGATTCTCCATGCGTGAAACGTAGTCGTATTATGAACATTAATGCCCAGCTTATTGCAATAATATAAATTGCCATTGTAGTCAGAAATATGAAAAGAGAGAATTTTATTGACGTTTCATCGCAGCGCTCGACATCTTTAGAATGGTAGTATAAGTATGGAATAAGATTATAAAAAGGATATAAGTATTTACAATGTATGAATAAATTAAGTAGTAAAAGAGGGATTAACCAATCACAGGAAGAATCTTGTATTCTTATATCATCATTCTAAAGATGTTGAGGGGTCTTCAACCCACAGCAGGTTCTATACTTCTATTAGAAAAATGATGCGATGCAGAAATCCATGAACGCTTTCATTTCATGTATCATTTTTTATTATTATCAGATTTATTAGCATTTACACGAACATTTTCTTTTCACTTGATTCTCAATATCACTGCGGCAGAGTAAAGAATGTGGTTGTGGTACCAGGTACCAAGTAGCAAGTACTGGGTAACATGTAGCGGGGTGATACCAGAGAAGACTGGTACTATTTAGCAGTATAATATAATACCGGATAAACGCTTTATCAAAAAGGCGTATTGAACTTGTTGTGGTAAAAAAAACGGCGATTCAATGAAGAAACTTAACGAATTTAATTGTAAATCTTAAAAGTTTTATTGTCCGAAGCTTTCACCGTTTTTAACAAAAAAATATTCTTTTGTTTATGTTGTTTTGTATAACATTGGAAGCATTGCGAATTGAAATTTGTGTTTGCATGCATGAAAAGCTGAATATACTGACAGAATATTCTGATATTTTGTCTTCGATACGTTGCTTCCTCCATTTGTGCACACGTAATTTTCCTCCTTTGACGATAAACACAACAAAATACTTTCTTGGCTTCCTTTCAAAATCAAAGCAAAATGCAGGAGGAATTTACTACTTTAAAGCAAGAACATTTGGAATACCAAAAACACTAGAAAAAATGTTAGGGTTTTCCAAGAAAGAAAAGTAAAAAGCAAGCAATGCAACAACTGCTACTTCTTTTTTTTCTTACCGCAAAAGTGGTAATTCCACGGAATTCTCAAAGCGAACCTGCAAATATTTATTTTCATTGCGCAATTAATCACAATGTGTGGCAAAGACACAATGCTACTTCTATGGGCGGCTGTATTCAATTCTTCTTAAATTAGGCACATCTTAGATAGCAATTGGTCATGCAATATTTTGTGATTAGCTCGGTTACAACAACAGGTTTATTTGTCCCTAAAAAGAAGTAAAAAGAGTCATTCACACATGACACTGATTGAAAATATACTGGTCTTGATTTTCACTCTTTAAATATCACTGAGTTTTCAAAGTAGATGTATACGACTGATATTCAAATTGACAACTGATGTATGAATTGACGTTGTTTTGGGATGGATTTGTGTGGTTGTTAATTCCCGTTTGCTGTTATTATCAACTGTCTTCGAGCAAAGTCAATTCATTTAAGAGGCTTTTCGTCTCTATTTAGTCACAATTTTAAAAAATAAGATATTGAATTTGAAGTGTAATTCTTAAATGTGATAATAATGTGATTTTTTTATACATTGCAGATAGTAACGATGATGATGAAGGTTAGTTTATCATGTAGTATAATACTTACAAATGTTTATAAATAACGCATTAATGACAATAGTTTTTATCGCCGTCAAGTTATTTATGTACCGACAGATCTATTTAAGCATTTATCTTCTCCAGGTGTCTCAATTCTCAGGTTTTCTTTTGAAGATGGCATATTTGTTCTCTTTCAAGTTACTTAGCATTCCAATTCTTTTTGTTTCCTTCGGTTTGTTGCTATAAACTCTTTCCTCGGCCACTTATTTCAACACGTTATTACTGCGAAAGATTTGTCAATTCTACCTCTTTTTAATTCTATGGTATTTCTACCGAACATCTCTCTTTTTTCATCTACACCATCAACATCACTTTTATTGTTTTCCTTTCTATTCAGCCTTCTCTCCATTCTTCCCGAGATTCACATCACAAGTGCCTCTATCTTTCTCATATACTTCCTTCGCTTTTCATGACTATGATCCAAAAAAATACTACAAACACTAAACAACTGTTTTGAAGATTCAATTTTTCTATTTTCTACGTATACCTTTTGTGAGTACTTTCCTTTTGTTGAAAGCTGATTTTGCCATATCTCTTTTCATTTTTATCTCTTGTAATTATCTGTTATCAAGGAACCCAAATAACAAATATGTCTTACAGGCGTAATTCTTCATTCAAAACTATATCAAGATTGCCACCAAATTGTTTGGAAACTGCAGTAACTTTTGTCGTCTTTATATTTATGCTCATACCATATTCTTCTGATACATCACCCAGTCTATCTAAGATATTCTGCATAATTTTTTTCGTCATAAATGCGTGTTATTATCCGTAAGAAACAATTAATTTCAAACGAACTTGATCTTGCAAAACATGTATAGTGAATATTATTATGTCATCATCGAGTTAGCTACGCCCCTTAAGAAAGCTGTGTATTGTATTATATTATCATTTGGTAATGTTTTTTTTTGCATTGTTTTAGCTTCAAAAATAACAGAAACTTTTGTAGGTCATACGAATGATAATCACGCTTTTGAAATCGGCGATGCAATGCCTTCATCAGGTAACAAAATTTTTATTTTTCAGAAAAATCATTCTTCATTGTCGTTCTGTTTCCTGCTCATCTCTCAGCTCATACTTACAATGTAAATTTTACAGTAAAGTCTATAAGAGTGATCATTGAAGAAAAACAGGTACGCAATGCGTACATGTAACAGCCTTTCTTCAACACAATTCAAATGATTCATATTTGACGAACATAAAATGTATGAGACATTTATATAAGATTTATAAAAGCCTCTTTAAGAAGTGAAAGATTATAATTTTACAACTATAATAATAATTTTGTAAATAATTGTCAAACACAACTTACGCAAGGTATTGAAAATCTCACACAGTGGGCTGGCCAAAAACACAAAATAGTGAATTCTCAATAAATACCACAAATTTCTACAATGAATTCTTCTTCCCAGCTACTATGCATTGGTCATTCACAAACCTCCAGTGGCATATAACCAGCCAACAACTTTGTTGATGCTGTGTAAAATTTAATGTCTTCACTCACTGTAAATCAATAATTTTCTCAAGAAATGAATAATAATGTTGTAAAATTTACATAGGATGAACAAATTTGCGGGCTAGCTACGCCACTGCAAACCTATAATGTCTTTCTGTAAATTCATTTCCTCTTAATTTGACTCTTTCATCAACACCATGCAATGCTTCTACCATCATCATCCTTTCAGCATAAACAGAAAACAACCTCTGCTCATTCTCTTCCTTCTTCAAAACCGCCACTTTGGCGTCAGAGTATGAAATGATTCTTGTGATACATGGGAATGCTGAATGCTGTCAGTTTATTTTTTTCAGAGTATCTCCAACTGGTATGCTCCGGTCGGTAAAATTTTCTTTGACAAAGGCTTAGAACTGCTCCTTTCCAACCTTTTACGTCATTAAGGGTGTTGATATTATCATCACTCATTAATTTCTTAGTGTAAATACAGTTGTAGCTACTCGCCTTCAATAAATGGACCTCCTAATAAGTCAAAGGACGATATCATTTTTTAAAAGTGTCAAAATGTGAATCAGGATTTAAAAAACAACAGAGTAGCCAGCTCAATAATTTGGGGAGGAGAGCTTGTATTCATAAATGCGTGTTATCATCCGTAAGAAATAAATAATTTCAAAAGAACTTGATGTAGCAAAACATGTATAATGAATATTATTATGTCATCATCGAGTTAGCTACGCCACTGAATAAAGCTGTGTATTGTATTATATTATCATTTGTTAATGTTATTTATTTGCATTGTTCCAGATTCGAAAAAAAGGGAACCTTCTGTATGTCAGTTGAATGATAACGACAGTTTGGAAGACAGTGATGCAATGCCTTCATCAGGTAAAAAATATTTATTTTTCAGAAAAATCATTCTTCAATGTCGTTCTGTTTCCTGCTCATCTCTCAGCTCATATTTACAATGTAAATTTTACATTAAAGTCTATAAGAGTGATCATTGAAGAAAAACAGTTACACAATGCGTATATGTAACAGCCTTTCTTCAACACAATTCAAATGATTCATATTTGACGAACATAAAATGAATGAGACATTTATATAAGATTTATAAAAGCCTCTTTAAGAAGTGAAAGATTATAATTTTACAACTATAATAATAATTTTGTAAATAATTGTCAAACTCAACTTACGCCAGGTATTGAAAATCTCACACAGTAGGCTGGCCAAAAACACAAAATAGTGAATTCTCAATAAATACCACAAATTTCTACAATGAATTCTTCTTCCCAGCTACTATGCATTGGTCATTCACAAACCTCCAGTGGCATATAACCAGCCAACAACTTTGTTGATGCTATGTAAAATTTAATGTCTTCACTCACTGTAAATCAATAATTTTCTCAAGAAATGAATAATAATGTTGTAAAATTTACATAGGATGAACAAATTTGCGGGCTAGCTACGCCACTGCAAACCTATAATGTCTTTCTGTAAATTCATTTCCTCTTAATTTGACTCTTTCATCAACACCATGCAATGCTTCTACCATCATCATCCTTTCAGCATAAACAGAAAACAACCTCTGCTCATTCTCTTCCTTCTTCAAAACCGCCACTTTGGCGTCAGAGTATGAAATGATTCTTGTGATACATGGGAATGCTGAATGCTGTCAGTTTATTTTTTTCAGAGTATCTCCAACTGGTATGCTCCGGTCGGTAAAATTTTCTTTGACAAAGGCTTAGAACTGCTCCTTTCCAACCTTTTACGTCATTAAGGGTGTTGATATTATCATCACTCATTAATTTCTTAGTGTAAATACAGTTGTAGCTACTCGCCTTCAATAAATGGACCTCCTAATAAGTCAAAGGACGATATCATTTTTTAAAAGTGTCAAAATGTGAATCAGGATTTAAAAAACAACAGAGTAGCCAGCTCAATAATTTGGGGAGGAGAGCTTGTATTCATAAATGCGTGTTATCATCCGTAAGAAATAAATAATTTCAAAAGAACTTGATGTAGCAAAACATGTATAATGAATATTATTATGTCATCATCGAGTTAGCTACGCCACTGAATAAAGCTGTGTATTGTATTATATTATCATTTGTTAATGTTATTTATTTGCATTGTTCCAGATTCGAAAAAAAGGGAACCTTCTGTATGTCAGTTGAATGATAACGACAGTTTGGAAGACAGTGATGCAATGCCTTCATCAGGTAAAAAATATTTATTTTTCAGAAAAATCATTCTTCAATGTCGTTCTGTTTCCTGCTCATCTCTCAGCTCATATTTACAATGTAAATTTTACATTAAAGTCTATAAGAGTGATCATTGAAGAAAAACAGTTACAATGCGTATATGTAACAGCCTTTCTTCAACACAATTCAAATGATTCATATTTGACGAACATAAAATGAATGAGACATTTATATAAGATTTATAAAAGCCTCTTTAAGAAGTGAAAGATTATAATTTTACAACTATAATAATAATTTTGTAAATAATTGTCAAACTCAACTTACGCCAGGTATTGAAAATCTCACACAGTAGGCTGGCCAAAAACACAAAATAGTGAATTCTCAATAAATACCACAAATTTCTACAATGAATTCTTCTTCCCAGCTACTATGCATTGGTCATTCACAAACCTCCAGTGGCATATAACCAGCCAACAACTTTGTTGATGCTATGTAAATTTTAATGTGTTCACTCACTGTAAATCAATAATTTTCTCAAGAAATGAATAATAATGTTGTAAAATTTACATAGGATGAACAAATTTGCGGGCTAGCTACGCCACTGCAAACCTATAATGTCTTTCTGTAAATTCATTTCCTCTTAATTTGACTCTTTCATCAACACCATGCATTGCTTCTACCATCATCATCCTTTCAGCATAAACAGAAAACAACCTCTGCTCATTCTCTTCCTTCTTCAAAACCGCCACTTTGGCGTCAGAGTATGAAATGATTCTTGTGATACATGGGAATGCTGAATGCTGTCAGTTTATTTTTTTCAGAGTATCTCCAACTGGTATGCTCCGGTCGGTAAAATTTTCTTTGACAAAGGCTTAGAACTGCTCCTTTCCAACCTTTTACGTCATTAAGGGTGTTGATATTATCATCACTCATTAATTTCTTAGTGTAAATACAGTTGTAGCTACTCGCCTTCAATAAATGGACCTCCCAATAAGTCAAAGAACGATATCATTTTTTAAAAGTGTGAAAATGTGAATCAGGATTTAAAAAACAACAGAGTAGCCAGCTCAATAATTTGGGGAGGAGAGCTTGTATTCATAAATGCGTGTTATCATCCGTAAGAAATAAATAATTTCAAAAGAACTTGATGTAGCAAAACATGTATAATGAATATTATTATGTCATCATCGAGTTAGCTACGCCACTGAAGAAAGCTGTGAATTGTATTATATTATCATTTGTTAATGTTATATATTTGCATTGTTCCAGCTTCGAAAATGGCAGAAACTTCTGTAGGTCAATTGAAGGATAACGACAGTTTGGAAGACAGTGATGCAATGCCTTTATCAGGTAACAAAATTGTTATTTTTCTGAAAAATCATTCTTCATTGTCGTTCTGTTTCCTGCTTGTCTCTCAGCTCATATTTACAATGTAAATTTTACATTAAAGTGTATAAGAGTGATCATTGAAGAAAAAATGTTACGCAATGCGTACATGTAACAGCCTTTCTTCAACACAATTCAAATGATTCATATTTGACGAACATAAAATGTATGAGACATTTATATAAGATTTATAAAAGCCTCTTTAAGAAGTGAAAGATTATAATTTTACAACTATAATAATAATTTTGTAAATAATTGTCAAACACAACTTACGCAAGGTAATGAAAATCTCACACAGTGGGCTGGCCAAAAACACAAAATAGTGAATTCTCAATAAATACCACAAATTTCTACAATGAATTCTTCTTCCCAGCTACTATGCATTGGTCATTCACAAACCTCCAGTGGCATATAACCAGCCAACAACTTTGTTGATGCTATGTAAATTTTAATGTGTTCACTCACTGTAAATCAATAATTTTCTCAAGAAATGAATAATAATGTTGTAAAATTTACATAGGATGAACAAATTTGTGGGCTAGCTACGCCACTGCAAACCTATAATGTCTTTCTGTAAATTCATTTCCTCTTAATTTGACTCTTTCATCAACACCATGCAATGCTTCTACCATCATCATCCTTTCAGCATAAACAGAAAACAACCTCTGCTCATTCTCTTCCTTCTTCAAAACCGCCACTTTGGCGTCAGAGTATGAAATGATTCTTGTGATACATGGGAATGCTGAATGCTGTCAGTTTATTTTTTTCAGAGTATCTCCAACTGGTATGCTCCGGTCGGTAAAATTTTCTTTGACAAAGGCTTAGAACTGCTCCTTTCCAACCTTTTACGTCATTAAGGGTGTTGATATTATCATCACTCATTAATTTCTTAGTGTAAATACAGTTGTAGCTACTCGCCTTCAATAAATGGACCTCCTAATAAGTCAAAGAACGATATCATTTTTTAAAAGTGTGAAAATGTGAATCAGGATTTAAAAAACAACAGAGTAGCCAGCTCAATAATTTGGGGAGGAGAGTTGTAATCATAAATGCGTGTTATCATCCGTAAGAAATAAATAATTTCAAAAGAACTTGATGTAGCAAAACATGTATAATGAATATTATTATGTCATCATCGAGTTAGCTACGCCACTGAAGAAAGCTGTGTATTGTATTATATAATCATTTGTTAATGTTATTTATTTGCATTGTTCCAGCTTCGAAAATGGCAGAAACTTCTGTAGGTCAATTGAAGGATAACGACAGTTTGGAAGACAGTGATGCAATGCCTTTATCAGGTAACAAAATTGTTATTTTTCAGAAAAATCATTCTTCATTGTCGTTCTGTTTCCTGCTTGTCTCTCAGCTCATATTTACAATGTAAATTTTACAGTAAAGTGTATAAGAGTGATCATTGAAGAAAAACAGGTACGCAATGCGTACATGTAACAGCCTTTCTTCAACACAATTCAAATGATTCATATTTGACGAACATAAAATGTATGAGACATTTATATAAGATTTATCAAAGCTTCTTTAAGAAGTGAAAGATTATAATTTTCCAACTATAATGATAATTTTGTAAATAATTGTCAAACACAACTTACGCCAGGTTTTGAAAATCTCACACAGTGGGCTGGCCAAAAACACAAAATAGTGAATTATCAATAAATACCACAAATTTATACAATGAATTCTTCATTGCCTAGGCATTTATACTCTAGCAAAAGATGGTTTCGGTAGTGTGACACCCTGTATAATTGTACTGCACAGAAATAAATATCACGTATCATATAGCGTCGTTCTAGCTATTATTTACTTCATGGGATACAACAATATCATGACTTTTGTATGGCTTTACAGCAGTTTATCATAATTTAGCCAGTCATATTCACGCACTTTTGTCGTCATACTAAACATTGGAGCGTATGTTTAAAATGTCATTATTCTAAGGCACAGCCTAAGTTCGTGTAATCCACACAGTCTCTTTTTGCGTTCCTAAATGTATGACCAAAACATGGATGTCTTTTAAAGTACAATTCTTAAAATTTTCAGCGACTAAAAATCAAACACCTCTCTTTAAACTTTAGAATAAGTTTTAAAAAAACCACTGATGATTGTTAAGAAAAAGTTAGCCACATCATAAGCATGACAAGCCAGTCTGTGATTATGTTTTATAGTTAGATTGAATTGCTTAGGTACTTTTTTAAAACGCATTTTCAAGCAGTTACTTTGCTGTGTTTCAATGTAATTATACAGGTTTTTTTATGTTTACTTTGTCTTGCAATAGAAGAAGGTGCATTTTATTTCATTGTGAATCCACAGCGCTATTCGCAGCTATTGGTGCTAACTATTTTATGACTCCTGTCAACTTTGAAATCTAATTTATGTTTTAGTTTCCCATAATGATTTACTTGAAAAAGTAGATCAATCTTCATCTTCTAGTACAATGAGTAGTATGACTTGTTGATATTTATTAATGGAACTTGAAACTCTGTTCTTTTCATTAATGTTCTTGTCTTATTCTCTTCAGAGCAACATACAAAACGAGGGGGTGTTTTTCCAAATATCACGTCTTTAGAAAGTGATGACGAAAGTAAAATGAGAGGTAATGAAGTGAGAAAATATTGTGGAATAGCTCACCAAATATTACCTTAATCTTGCTGCATGTGATGTTTTGTAATTATGTTATCATATAATTGCATTGTTACAGCATTTGAAGATGTTAACGTTGCCAAAAGTGCTGTGCCTTCTAAATCGGAAGCTGGTAAGTAACAGTCTTTTCTTTACTTCCCAGCCTCATATTATCAACGTAAATTATACATGTAATTCTACATTATACATACACAATTACTAGTTTCTTTACTGAATTTCTAAAATACAACATTACTACTAAATTTTTCACATTTTAAGAGGTGACCTAAAACTTTTGCATAGTACTGTACTGCATATTTACATAAGATCGTTACACCTGAATAATTGAATAAGATCGTTAAAAGGATGAGAAGGTGAAGTGGGCAGCAAAAAATTAAAATGCATGCCAAAAAAAGTTCTTTATGAAAATGCTCTTTGTGACTTAGATAATGGTGTGAGTCGTTAAAAAAATCACAAGCGTTGTTTTCAAAATGTCAGCGTTTTGACAGATTGCTATTTTTATCCGAAACCTTCAGAATAAAAAATTCTTACCATTGAATGAATTATTTTATTGTGTTGTGTTCAGCAAATATCAATTATTCATTACATTGACGGCAAATTGATTATTTAATTTACACTCCTGAAATTGAAAACGATTGATGCGTTGGCGTTATATTTTGTATTTCCCTACCACTTGGTTTACTTAAGCAAAATTAAAATAATCTGTGTTTGCTCTTCCACAAGTCTCCGACTTTTTATCTAATGAAAAGAAATGCGCAATTGATCAGTTAACTGCCACGTGTAAATTTAACATAACGTTGTTTTTAAGATATATTTTTTTAATACTGCAATAAAAAAGAATCGACATCGTAAAGGTCGGTATAGTCATGCAAAAACTAGTAGTAATAATGTTTATATGGTTGTTTATGTCTGCTTATGTTCAATGTATTTGAAAAGCGTTACCTTCAAACTCCAGTTTTTCTCTCTCAGCTTGTTTACCCATGCAAAATTCAAACAGTGGCTGTAGATTTTCCATGCGTGAAACGTAGTCGTATCATGAACATTAATGCCCAACTTATTACAATAATTTAAAATGCCATTGTAGTCAGAAATATGAAAAGAGGAAATTTTATCGACGTTTCATCGCAGCGCTCGATATCTTTAGAATGGTAGTATAAGTACGGAATAAGATTACAAAAAGATATAAGTATTTACAATGTATGAATAAATTAAGTAGTAAAAGAGGGATTAACCAATCACAGGAAGAATCTTGTATTCTTATATCATCATTCTAAAGATGTTGAGGGGTCTTCAACCCACAGCAGGTTCTATACTTCTATTCGAAAAATGATGCGATGCAGAAATCCATGAACGCTTTCATTTCATGTATCATTTTTTATTATTATCAGATTTATTAGCATTTACACGAACATTTTCTTTTCACTTGATTCTCAATACCACTGCGGCAGAGTCAAGAATGCGGGTGTGATATCAGGTACCAAGTAGCAAGTACTGGGTAACATGTGGCGGGGTAATGCCAGAGAAGACTGGTACTATTTAACAGTATAATATAATACGGATAAACGCTTTATCAAAAAGGCGTATTGAACTTGTTGTGGTAAAAAAAACGGCGATTCAATGAAGAAACTTAACGAATTTAATTGTATGTCTTAAAAGTTTTATTGTCCGAAGCTTTCACCGTTTTTAACAAAAAAATATTCTTTTGTTTATGTTGTTTTGTATAACATTGGAAGCATTGCAAATTGAAATTTGTGTTTGCATGCATAAAAAGCTGAATATACTGACTAAATATTCTGATATTTTGTCCTCGATACGTTGCTTCCTCCATTTGTGCACACGTAATTTTCTCCTTTGACGGTAAACACAACAAAATACTTTTTTAGCTTCCTTTCAAAATCAAAGCAAAATGCAGGAGGAATTTACTACTTGAAATCAAGAACATTTGGAATACCAAAAACACTAGAAAAAAAATGTTAGCGTTTTCCAAGAAAGAAAAGTAAAAAGCAAGCAATGCAACATCTGCTACTTCTTTTTTTTCTTACCGCAACAGTGGTCATTCTACGGAATTCTCAAAGCGAACCTTCAAATATTTATTTTCATTGCGCAAGCAATCACAATGTGTGGCAAAGACACAATGCTACTTCTATGGGCGGCTGTATTCAATTCTTCTTTAATTAGGCACATCTTAAATAGCAATTGGGCATGCAATATTTTCGCACAAAGATTAATTTATACGAATAAATTGCTATCTGGTACAAGGTACCCTCCACTCGATATTTGCTTTCTGATATCTGCTTTCCGATACCTGGTATCCGGTGCTTATGCTTTTGTTTTCCATCATACCAATCTTTTGCAAAGAGTGTCGAAACATCAGCTAAGGCTAGAACCAACAGTCTGCAACAACCTGAATTATCTACTTACGTCTACAAACATGTAATTGCATAACCTGGGTAAAAATTTGTAAATTTCAAATCATGAAAAATTGTGTGTTATAATGTTTGTTTTCATGTTCTTTATTTCTTCATAATGCAGAAAAGAAAGAAAGACGACGTCACAAAAGTCATGAACTTTACTTACGATAATGATTACTTTGTTTGTTTATGTCCGTTTACATTTTACTGTGTTGAAAAGAAACTAATTTTAAGCGTGTTTTCTGTTTCTATGCAGCCACATTTAAGAATAATAATTTCAAATATAACATGTCCTCTTTGTACTAACTATTAGTTTTTAATGTTGACATTTGGAAATTGACATATAAATGCTGAAAAATTTGTTTAAAACATTGTTGTTTGATACATCACCCAATCTATATGAGATACTCTGCATAATTTTTTCGTCCCAGCTACTATGTATTGGTCATCCACAAACCTCCAGTGGCATATAACCAGCCAACAACTTTGTTGATGCTATATAAATTTCAATTTATTCACTCACTGTAAATCAATAACTTTCTCAAGAAATGAATAATAATAATGGTGTAAAATTTATATAGGAGGAACAAATTTGCGGCCTAGCTACGCCACTGCAAGTCTATAATGTCTTTCTGTAAATTCATTTCCTCATAATTTGACTCTTTCATCAACACCATGAAATGCTTCTACTATCATCATCCTTTCAGCATAAACAGAAAACAACCTCTGCTCATTCTCTTACTTCTTCAAAACCGCCATTTTGGCGTCAGAGTATGAAATAATTCTTTTGATACATGGGAATGCTGAATGCTGTCAGTTTATTGTTTTTCAGAGTAGCTGCAACTGGTTTGCTCCGGTCGGTAAAACTTTCTTTGACAAAGGTTTAGAACTGCTCCTTTCCAACCTTTTTACATTATTAGTGGTTTTGATAATATCATCACACATTAATTTCTTAGTGTAAATACAATTGTAGCTACTCGCCTTCAATAAATGGGTCAAAATATGAATCAGGATTTATAAAACAGCGGAGTTGCCAGCTCAATAATTTGGGGAGGAGAGCTTGTATTCATAAATGCGTGTTATCATCCGTAAGAAATAAATAATTTCAAAAGAGCTTTATCTTACAAAACATGTATAGTGAATATTATTATGTCATTATCGAGTTAGCTACGCCACTGAGGAAAGCTGTGTATTGTGTTATATTATCATTTAGTAATGTTATTTACTTGCATTGTTCCAGCTTCGAAAATAAAGGAACCTTCTGTACGTCAGCCGAATGTTAATGACAGTTTGAAAGACAGCTATGCAATGCCTTCATCAGGTAACAAAATTTTTATTTTTTAGAAAAATCATTCTTCATTGCTATTTTTATCATTCTATCATTGCTATTTTTGACTACTTCCGTTATAATGGTGCAAAATAATAAATTTTAAAATGTTTACTCATTCCTATGCTGTCACCATTTTACGACGGTGAGATACTCAACTGTGAATAGAATGCAAAACATAAATATAAACTTTGTGCTAGGGATTAATGATGATTGTCTTAATGCAGAAAAGAGTGTGGAAGAAGGATACCTTTGTAAATGATTTTTTATATATCCCTTTTTATAAACCTGCAACATTCTTAATAAATCAAAGCGTTCTCAACTTTCACTGTGTTAAAACTAAATTATTTTTTGCTATTGCGCTTGCACACGACGATAATAAAATTGCTGTTTTCAAAATTGATTGTACAAACTATGTGCTTGTCTACAATAACCTTAAAAGTATAATGATAGCTATATAAAAATACTTTTATTTGTTTCCACATATTACATTATTACTCATGTGACGACCAATATCTTGACCAATGGATATTTTCCTCGTAATCAATGCAGAAACAAACATGTTATTGGTGAAGAGAAAAACCAATCAAAACTACTTTTTATAATGTAAAATTGTAATTTGTGGTTCTGTAATTTTTATATTTTCTTATATTTATAATCGGTGTGGTATTATGATGCGACCAAATCTTAAAATACGCCCATACATTAACATTGTTCATAGTTCATGATAAAGAGACCATTAAATTAATTTGTTGTGTTATAAATAAAACAAAATATGCTCTAGTTGCTTGTTACTATAACAATATAACATTTTAATATTATTTTATTATTTATTTTTCATAATGCAGAAGAGGGAAAACAACGTTCGGAAGGTTGCTATAACGAATTATTTTCAGTTTTGTAAAGGATTGTGATTAATTATTTTTACTGCTCTGAATTGCTCGAGTTGAAAAATGCTGTGTAAATTTTTTCAATTTTTAAAATTTTTTAATGACTATTAATTAAGAATGAAAAATTCTTTTCATTGCATGCATAAAAATGTCCGTGTCTGAATGTAAAGTGCAGCATGTCGTAAGCAACCATTTTAACTATTTCTTATTGTTCCCAGTTCAAACAATGTCAGTTATTGAAGGGATCATTGGTTTGTAAACATTTGTAGAGATCATTTAGTAAATTCAATTTATTTTAAGAGGATTTTTGGTCATAACATTCAGATACTAAATTTCATAATTTATGTTAATGTGAAAAGGATGTGTTTTTTATCCATTGCAGAATTGCTCAATCTAGGATAGCAGACCTAGCGTTTGTCAAAATGAATTATAGATGCTCAATTTTAAATTCAAAATATATTCAAACCAAAACTATTGGATTTGAATTTCAAAAAATTAAACTTTATCAATGGACTTGCCTCTATGTATTTGGAAATGAAAATATATCCAAGCATGAGCTGCAGCAATTTATTTTGACGTACCCTAGATCCGCCACTGGCTTTATTGAGTTAAAGGTTGGTATGGTCATGCAATGAACTAATCGTGGAACGTCGATTATTGCGCGTGAATTGTATGATAACCAACTCATTTCCACCGGAGTAAATGTTATTTCCATATCAAAATGAAAACATCCGTGTTTTCTCATCCAGAGAAAAACACAGCAATGTTATATGTTATGTGATATTACCAAAGCAAGTAAAACTGTGAATTGCAGAATTTATTTCTTCTCCTTTAAGTTCTAGAATTGTTGCGTCAACCATGGAAATGTTCTGATAAATCAATAATGCATCAGGAAAAGTTTAAAAAGATGGAGGAATATACACGCAAACATCCAGAAAAAGTTACACCGCTCAGTGGATTGCGTGTTATTTGTTCTGAAGAGTTTTTGCTTGGCAAGGGAAGTGATGGAACCCGTGTTTACCTTGCCCTGGGAAATGATGGTTATGGAAAAGCAGTAAAGCGAATACACAAAGATAGCGGCAAAGACTATGCAAATCGAGAAAAAGAAACTTTGAATGAGCTTAATGCAAAGCGATCAAATTATGTTGTGAATATTTGGCATTTAGAAGAGAACCTTGACGAAGAATATTTGTACATGATATTAGATTTGTGTGAAGAATCGTTAGAGGATTATGTGAAATCTTCTTCTTTGCAAGATCTTCAAAAAGTCGTTCCTAAAATTCTTATTCAGATCTTAAATGGTCTAGCTCACCTTCATAGCGGTGATCGTCCTATTCTTCATCGGGATTTGAGACCATCAAACGTTCTTCGAGATGTACAAGGAAATTTTTTAATTGCTGACTTTGGTATTAGTCATATTTTATGCAATGGAGCTGTGACACATCAAAGCATACAGAGAGGAGCTAAAAATTGGATAGCTCCAGAGTCATATAACGCATCAGATAATACATTTAATAAAGTTCGTTACAAAAAAGAGTCTGACATTATGGTAAGTTCTTTAAGTAGAACTAGAGGTCCAACTACAGCTCAATGTTTTATTTGCATTTAATTAAATATTGTATTTTGTAGTGATACTGATTTTACCTCAATTTTTTTCTTTACCTCGATTGTATCGTCATATAGTGTCAACCTATAAATTTATATAGAAATAAATTAATTTTTGATAAACGTGTTACAGTTATAATTGTATGTTCCTTATTTAGGTTGCTTTTGATACATTTATATGGCTACAATTCTATTTGGAGAACATTTTTTAGATTTTTTTAAGCTGCACATTTATTGTTGAGTTCTGCAAATCGCAAATAAATTTAATCTTTAATGTTTTAGTATCCACCACTGACTATTTATGACAATTTTTTATTGAAAATAGAATGCCGGAATGGTGGCTTATTATGTTGCAACAAAGGGAAAACATCCTTTTGGAGATGAACGGCATAGATTGGACAACATTTTGAAAGGAAACCCAGTTGGCTTGGACGAAATCAAGGATGCGACGTTCAAAGACCTTTTATCGTTGATGCTACAGCTAGAACCTAAAGACAGGCCATCTGCCAATGAGGCGTTAAAACATCCTTATCTACAATCAGACGAAGAGAAATTTAACATGCTGTGTGATATGGGGAAGCAACTGGAGGTGAAACATTCACAAGGTCAAAATTCTCCCACTTCAGACGTTCATACGCAGTTGCATGGTTCCACAGAATGGATGAAGCGTATGGATGATGAAGTCGTCAAAGATTTGATCAACTTTGATGTAAACGACAGTATAAGAACCCTTATGTACGAGTCTACATGGGCAGGATGCTTAATATTCTTACGAAACGTTGACCAACAATGGCAAAATAAACCTCTTCCTTATCTATCACAATATGTGAAGCAAGGCAATTATAAAGAGTACTTCCTGCAAGTTTTCCCGGAGCTTCCTCTTCTGGTGCACAAAGTCATTAGGTCTACTCACAAGAAAACTAAACCTGATCACAAGAATAATTAAGAACATCATGCATTTGTTCAGGATTTGTTTACACTATCTAATCATAAGTTTTATTGTCTCGCTTTTAAATTTAATGACTTTTCATTTAAACATTTTCTCATTTGATACTGAAGTCATATAATTAATTATGTAATATATACTGTGAAAAATTGTAATCTCTGCAAATGGATAGGATTACTTAAAAATGTATAATGGGACTTAAAATATTACTAATTCGAATGTATAGTCATGTAGTGGCAATGTATCCCTCGCAATACATGGCATTCATCTTGTTAAATGAATTAAAATTGTATGTTCGTCATTCGTATTTTGTTAAATATATACATGGTGCGACTCAAAATTATTTAGATTTTTGAGCGTTGGAGATTGACCTCATCGCAGAATACAGAGAGCAGTTAAGAATTGGGAAATTCCAGCATATGATCTATCCAGCATACAATCATCAATGTATCTTGCTACAAGAAACAGTCTGATGTTATGATAAGTGTTTGTTGTGGACATTTAAATGTAGTTGAATTCTGCAAATAGCAAATAAAATCATCTTTTGACGTTTCAGTATCCACCGCCACTAACCTTGTAACTTTTATGATGTTTTTTATTGATTTTAGAATGCAAGAATAGTAGCTTTTTACGTTGAAACAAATGGAAAACATCGTTTTGGACCTAAACGGTTTTTATTTTTTCGTAAATGTTTTCAGTATAAAAGCTAGTTGATATTGACAAATAGTCGAAGTCAATTATTTAAGTAACACTTTATGCAATGAAGTTTGTCAAATTTATTCACTGAAATACAGATCATGTTTCACTTCAATCCAAAGATTTGAGAAATTTTTTGACAAATCTTCCTTTTCCCTTTTGCTTTTGATTATTAACCATATCCAAGCTGTTTTCACACCTGCCACATTTCAACATCATATCAAAATGCTTTATTGATAATTCTCCGCTTTCTTTGTAAACGGAAAAACCCATAGATTTGCCATATTCCATTCTACAATAGGAAGATTTTTCGTTTGCAAGTCTGTTATGGTAATTCTCAGTCCTACTCGTGTTACAGGTCATTACCGTTCGCATCAAATTATCTCGAGGGCTATTTAAGATATCGGCAAAATATACGCATAGACCGCAGTCCTGTGTTCTTCTACTGTAGAAGCACAGCCGGGCATTTGTACGAAGTTGACCGACATTTCTTGCTACTTGGAGTGGACTTGGATGAAATGAAAGATGCCACACTAAAATCAGAAGACAAGCCATCTGCAGACAAAGAATGTTATGTATAAAGTTGGAAAACAGCGATCGATGAAAACAAATGTCTGTGTTAGATAAAATGCAAAATGAATGAAAGCTTGAGCGCTTTCCGGCACCTGTGTCATAATTACCAGATATTCAACATGTTGAATAATTTCGGTCAGGAATAAATGTTTCCTCCAAATGTGCGCGCATGAAAAGCTATCGCCTCAGCAAATGTAACCTTTACGCATGCTCTGTCACAGGGGCGGATCTAGAGTATGTCAAATCCGTCGCGCGACTGATGTTTGAAATTCAAAAATTACCTATTCATATTAATTAAAAATTCATTAATTATTCTTACTTTATTATCGCATTTACTTCGTGATAAAAATCCAGCTTTATTTATTATTGAAAACTAATGACTAATCCAATGAATATCTCGTTTGTAACCAGATCAGTTGAATTTTAATTGACCTGGAATAACCGACTGATAAGCGGGGTGGCTTGACTGGTTCGACTGATAAAGGAGTCTATGAACGCCAAATACGCTTATTTCATTGGTCAGTAGCCAGATCAGTGGACGATCTGGAATAATCTCGACCGATAAGCGGGGCTGCCGGACCTATAAGGGAGTCCACTAGCTATCGTATAGTTGGTTCGTTTAAATTTTTGTCTTACTGTGATTGGTTTGACCGATTTCGACTGATAGCCAACTGAACTAACATAGTCAAGCTCACTGTCTGAATTGAATGTTTGATCGTTTCATAGTAATTTTCTAAAGCATTATAGAAACTAAACTACAATCAGATGGAATTTATGGAAATCTTTACAAATTCATATATTGACATGAATGCTGCTTTCCAAACTGGGAATTTTTCAAGAGGGCGAAAATTTATGGATGAATTGTAAATGCTTGGCAAAGACGATCTCGCGAGCGACATTTCAGTCATTGATGTTCAAAAGCAAGCCAACATTGTTTTGAGTTTTATCAGCAGAAATTTACATCCAAAATCGTAAGTAAAGGACAACTGAAGTGTATGCATGAATGTAATATATCAAAGTCAATTTATGCGAGTGTGTGATGCGATTTATGTCAATATGGCGTATGGTAAGCAGATTGATGCTTCTAAAATTGTTGTTGCCGAAGGACTTTTAGCTATGATTTCTTTAGTGCTTGGGGAATCGTGACCGTTATATGGCAGCGAAATCCTACATTCCTGCAAATATATTTCAATGGACAAAAAATCTGTAGCCATAAGGCGCCATACTATTATTTACTTTATCATAAACAAATGTTTGGGGCTTTTCAGTTTATGATCATTGATCATTCAATCATTGGACAGTTATACTACATATTGTTTAAGATTTGAGAAAACTAACATTGATTACATGAGAAGCTGTTTACTATAACCTGTGATTTTGAGTCTTCTGATCCATGAAGCTTTTTATTTTGACAATTTGACTGGAATGGTATTAAACCTGAGTATTTCACATACATGAAATGTTGTCCCATGTCACATATTGTCCCCTTTTCTAACTGAACACCTCATGTAGAGATGTAAAGGTGTGTTAATCTACGGCTCATACCAGATTGTTTGCCATAAATTCCAAAGGGCTATTGATGTATGAAAAGCATTTTCTATAAAGTAAAAATGTCTTCCTATGTATGCAGATAAACCTTGAAATTTGGCAAAACAGCAAAGTATTTTTCATGATCACTAGGTAATTTTTCTGATGATCATTATAATTTCTAAACTAAATTATTTCAGATTTACATTTAAACGAGCTTTGATCATATGAAAAGATATTTATCATAACCAGTAAGCATGACACATGAACCAATTTTAACATTCATGTAATTATATAACTAAAGACATGTTGGTTACATTCTGTTTGTATTTGATAATACAATGCTACTAGTGATTGCTATATAGCACACTTTGCAGAAGATATTACTCTAGTGAATGCCTAATAAACATTTATGGCATTAAGCTGTCCTTAACTGCAAATTTTTACTCTGATAATTTTTGCTTAGTTTTTGGCAGAAAAAAATTTCGAATTTTTTCTCAAAAAGTGAATTTGCTGGCACTGTTGTGGAGATGGGTAAAGGGTTACAATAAACTTACATGGTTTGAAGTCTGAGCTTTTCTCTATCTATGAACTGCCACTTGTCGTACTAAATTTCTAATTTAACTCATTACATAGAGGTTTGAATGGGGGTCTCTAGGGGGGTCTAGGCCTGACAACTTGATAGAAATTTTTAAAGACTACATCTGTTTTTGAAAAGCATTATTGTAAAATAAATTTTACGTTCGTAGACATGCTAATGAGAAATATATTTGGCAAAACATTCAAGTATTGTTCACTTCATTTTTTTTTTTGAAAAAAACGTAAGCAAAATGTGTTGTTTTTACGCAAAAACGATGCCCACAAAATACATTTTGTATTGCTCTAAAACACTAAAAATGGCATTTTAAGGCTCTGAAATTCAAAATTTCTCAGGGGAGAATGCCTCAGACCCCCCCAGTTGCGGAGCGCCTCCGACGTTTTATGACTGATGTTTGAAAAATCCTAGATCCGCCCCCGGCTCTGTCTACGGTAATATTTGCTATTCAAAGCAAAATGGCTGCTGCTTATGGTATGTTTGATTCGTCGTCAGAGGTAGAAGACAAAGAAATGTTGCTTTTGCCATTTTTATTGCGGCTACGGCGAAGGTGTTTGAAAGCAGCTAAATCAACTACATGGACAAAGTGTGGGATTTCTGGACGGCCTACACAGGGAGCAACAAATATTGTCCATGAGCTGGATGCTAAAGATAATGAGCAGTTTCGGAAGTATCGTAGATTGGATAAAACCGCTTTTGATAAATAAATTTGGTCTTGTAACATTATATCAGCTATCACGCTTTGTGCCGCCATCTTCGTCCAAAGTATAAAATGAGTTAATTTGCGCATGCGTAAAGTTACATTTGCTGAGGCGATAGCTTTTCATGCGCGTACACTTGGAGGAAACATTTATTCGTGACCAACATTATTCAACATGAATATCAGACAAATATGACACACGTGCCGGAAAGCGCTCAAAAATGGGGTCCTTCACGGCAACGTTCTGTCTTAAAGAGGCATTTGGCAACCGGACTATAATTAGAATTTAAATTTAATTGAGTTAATTTAACACGCACAATAAAACATACGAGTAAACAGCCATTTTTATGTCAAGAACGCTGGTCAGAGACAATCATTAATCATCCAAATGCCACAATGGCTACTCCATTTTTACATTCTCTGGATGAACAAAAACTGGTAGTAACTGTAACGTACGGAGCAAACGTCACTAGCAAGCTGCTGTAGACCCAATTTCATTTTATATTTTCTTTACAGCCCGCCTACAATAATTCACTAATTTTCTTATTTGCACTTCTTTATTGACACTCTTTTGAGTAAATTCTGTCAGTAACTTATACGTCTTTTTATGTACATGCACTACGCGTGTTACGATTGGTAAGACTTGTATATTATTTATTGGCACAGGATCATGCACGTAGCCAGAACAATAATTGGGGGGTGGGGGCATATTCAAATACATTAATTTTATAATCCGTACTAACAAATTTTATTTTTACGATAGAAAACATGCTCAATTGCATGCGCATATAAAATTTAAATAAAACATTTCCAAATTCAATATTCACAGATTTTTCTTATGTCCACCCACCCCCTCCCTAAGGAAAAGTATAGTTTTTTCCAGCTGTGATCTTTGGAAATGCTTCCATTGTTTAAAGATTATTTACATACGCGATGCAAACCAAGTCATTCGTATTATTTTGATAGTTGATTCTCATCAGACGAAGCAAAAACGTTTAAGTAGTGGAACAAGCACTGAAATTATTGTAAGTTTTATTTGTATCGTATTCTCTTTATGATTTAACACTGGTACACTAAAAATTTGCGAATTCTTTCAGTATATGTAATGACAATGTTCAAATTCCATTGCGTCAGACGTTTGACTTAAAGGCCACAAGTTTGAACTTATATGTAGTTTTGTCTCTTTTTATTTCTCCATGTCTAAGATTAT